TCGGTTCTGCGCCGGTGCGATCAGCCACCCATTGTTGGGTCTGCACCCCCTCAGGGTCTGCCACAGCGCTCGGCCATCTGCGCGGCCTGTGGTGTTTTGTAATGCAATCGATTACAATTCTGGTCGTAATGTAAATGTACCATTCATGTCGTCTCACCAAACTGCACCATTGTCTAAGAAGTAACATCACCACCACAATTTTTAAAATTACTTGAAACCACTAGCGACAGTGTCTTAGTAGCAACACAGCTAACAAGTTAAGTTTACCGTATTCATTACTCTGACAGTAGGTCAAGCGATACAAGGTTAAAAAGTGCTTTGAGCTCCACATTGTTCAAATTAATTGAAAATCGTCGATACCTGCTCATCAAGCCAATAGCGGCTGGTTCTGTGCTTGTTCACTGTTCTTGACTCCTCCTCCACAGCTGTTCTGCGAACTACAGGTGATTTGGCAAGCGCTTTCCTATAAGACCGATGATGTTTGAAAATTTGATCAGAAACCAAGAAAAAACGCTCAAATAATTTGATCAACAGATAACAGCGATATTCTATCAAATCGAAATCTTCGGCCACCTGAACAACTCGGAAAGGTGTTCAATTCTACTTGGCCGTCTGAGGACAGAGGCAGCTGCTGTCGGATCATGACTTCTCGAGCGCACTGTCCTCACGCTATCAGCTGGTGTTGGGGGTTCAGATTCCGAGTCGCTTCCGCTATCACGGGACGAAACCGAGAGTAGTTCAATGTCCCTGCGAAGGGTGGATAGGTCAATGGAGTTTGATCGTGGGGGTGAAGAAGAATCTGGGTAAGGGGAGAGAAGTGGTGGAGGTCTCAGAAGTCGTGGAGGTGACTGATCCTGAGAGGATTGCGAGTCGAGAAAGGAATCATTGTCGCAACGGAGTATTCGCGGTGACGCCGGTGCAGAGCTGCACGGCGTGCTGAAAGGATATCATTTAGCTGATCACAGAGACATTGACGAAAATTGAGATCTTTAACAAGGGATACAAAGAAACATCTGTGAGATGTTTCTATAATGAACATCGTATGCGTTTGATCGAAGAGTACTATATTGTAGGCGTGCAGCAACATTCCCATTGCAGAAAGGTGGCACTAGATCAATTGCGAATGTTGTCGACATAGTTGCCTGCTATCAAAAGGAGGAGATGAATGTATTTTGTGCATGGAAGATCTCCTTTTTACACGCTTAACCTTCATCTATCTAGCCAGTGATCATAAAGAAACGGAAATTTTGTACTTTTTCTATTGCTACTTATACAGCATTCGAAGAGTTTGTTGTAAAAAATCTGCTACAATCTTAGCACAGGGAGGGAGACTAGCAAGATGATCAATCTATAATCACTTATCAAAATTGGTTGTTTGGTCGATCAAAAAATCATGTTTGAACTTACGTCTGATACACTTTACGTGTTGTAAGAATAGTACCGTTTTACAGCATTTTCGCCTTTTTAGGTGACAACTTCATCTCAAATTCAACGAAGTTGAAGTGCTAGGCAACCCAGATGGAGTTTATCTCTGACTTTGGATGTAGCATTATGAGCATTTTGACATTATGATGAAAATGCAAAGTAGGCTTGGCGAACCACAAATCACCTATCAAGCTCTAACAATTCGAACATAAAAAAAGATGTTGATGCTCTGACCTCCCATTTGCGGACTTTCTCAAATGCTCTACAACGAAGCAGATGATATTTCGCAAGAGTGAGCAACAAGCAAAAGGAGATGACATTATTCGCGAAAATCTCTGCTCAAGCACAACGGACCAACTTTCGTTCCTTCATTGTGGAGGTGTCAAAATCCTTTCTTTCGTACGCCAAGGTTCTCAATAACGCCAGCCCTCTTCCTTTTGGCGACATGCTCATACATACAGCCTTTAGAGTTGGAACATGCAATGAACATTCACTCTTCTTAGCCCACATGAATCAAGGCACCATAAAAATTAAAAACTAATATGAAATTATTGAAAAGAGAGATTATTTTATATTTATTCTAACTCAACAGAACCAGTGGTAGACTTATAATGCTTTTTGCAGTTGCTCAATAGTTTATGGAAAAAATATTACTAAGCAAAAGATAGTAAACTAATTCAAAGTTGTTTTTTCATGATCAGCGAGATATGCATGATATGAAGTTAGGTTTCTCAACAGGAAAATGTTGACACCCGATATTGGCTGGGAGTCATGCAGCATTTAAAATAATAATGGTAACACTGCTGTGGCTATAAGTGCTTTCAGTAGCATGCAAAAGCTACTTACGGCCAAAACCTTCACCTGAATATGATATCTGTGAAGACTTTTGAAGAAACGTTATGTATGTAGGATTAGGGAAAGAGTAGGATGTCAATGATATCGTTTGGACACGTGATTAAACCGTTGCTTTTTAACAAAAATCTACGATTTGCTTCTGTACAACTATGTTCGAAAGGTATTTTCAACCAGAGTATGTATTTTAAAAATGTTGTTTGAATTCTTATTGTTAGCCTGCTTTTGAAATTGATGAATTACAAAAACTAGAGCAAAGTGGTCCCCCTACAAATACTTGTTGCTGCATGGGTGGTGTTAGTACGTAGGCCAAGTTCGACTAAAACAACGAGACTCCAATGTATTATTATTGCCCCGGGACCACATCTTCAGCTTACAACTGCTTCGTTTGCTTTCGTAAAGCGCGTATGATACTAACGGACGTCCTTTGAACACATCAAAGGTGATCGCTTGTAATGCTTTTACATTTCAACACTTAGTGGAGCAGAATTGAGTTGTCAAGATCTATAATGTGCGCAACAACTTAGGCTTTTCACATTCAGCGTTTATCCTCTTGTACGGCTATCCAAAATTCAGTCCAAGATTCGTTGCACAATTCTGCTTCACATAAGCAAAAAACCCTTTAAAGTGAATTATTTACGGCTTCACGTTTATTCAATGAAGTTACTTCAAATTACGCCGTTGCTCATTCAATATTTTGCTCCGAGAATCATGGAGTTTTTGCGTACCATTAGCAAGCTGATTATTATTCACCCTGCTGATACGAATTAGCAAGAAGATGTTTAAGCAATGATGCGTTTGGCGAGT